CAGTCCATTCTACAGCTCTGTTATTACAGACTTGATATATTACAGTGATAATCATCGCCAGTTTTTTTCTCTCTATAATGTAAGTAATAGGAACCTGGCTATATCAGGTTCAGTTTGCACAGACTCGGATATAACACTGACCTTGCAGCACAGGAACTTGCTTTCGTTCCGTCAAATTGTTAAATTTTGTCTCAACCAAAACATTGCGCCTTTCTGTTTCTATGATCACTTGCCTGAACACAAACTTTCAAACTCAACCTCCCCCCCCCCCCCCCCCCTCCTCCCCATAATAAAATGACTTGAGCCAAAAAGAGCTACAAAATCCAGGAAATCCTGCACAGCTTTGAAGCGTTTTTTTTTCTATGAAGCAATAATACTGATATCTTCAATGATTTTGTGATTTTACAAGGTTTTCAATGTATGTAGATGAAGATTGTGATGTGCTGACTGTATGTAGTGTGTTGAATGTTATGTGTTGACTACGGCGTGTCGACTATGATGTGTTGTCTGTGATGTGTTAACTGTGAAGTGTTGACTATGATATTCACCATTGTATGTTCACTGTGGCGTGTTCATCTTGGCGTGTTCACTGTAATGTGTTCACTGTGTCATGGTCACTTTTGTGCGTTCACCATGGCATGTTCACTGTGGCAAGTTCACAGTTAAGTGTTCCCGTGGGTGGTTGGTGGGTGCTCTGGTGTGGTTTGCTTTTTCTTTCCTATCAAACATCTATCGTCCTTATCTCCCCTTCTTCTTTTTTTAATGTTCGTTACTCTCTTGTAACACCTCTAATCTTCTGGCGCTCATATGACCTTATGCAGTTGCGAGCGCCGTAAAACCTCTACTAAAACTAAACTAAGTGTTCCCCATAACGCGTTCACTGTGTTTGTTCACTGTGAACACTGTTGCGTGTTAACTGTTGTGTTGTCACCGTAATGTGTTCCCTGTTGTGTGTGTAGTGTGTACTGGGATGTGTTCAACGTGGCGTGTTCTGTTTTCCTCAGGAGGCAGAGAAGACAAGGACAAAGTCACCAGTGGCAAAGACGCGGTTTACAAGAGGGACCTCGGCCAGAAAGGGTCAGTCTGCATGGATTTCCATCTTCATCTTCTTCCACCTCTTCTCCATATTATCCTCCTCCTCTTAGAAAATAGTGATATTGTATGTATGTCTGTAGGTTGATTATTGTTGTTAGATTTCCCATTCAACAACGCTTAACAATAAACCACCAGTCAAATAAATATGAAGTTATGATTCCACAAGTTTTAAAACTGACACCCTCACAATTTTTAGATTGTGACTATGACCGTTTTTACTGTGGACTCCTCATATATTTGTGTCATGACGTGGCGGAATCAGGCGCTCGTCTATTTCTGGGCATATAGGGTTATTGATATCATCTTAAAGTCTATTCAATTGCCTTCTTTTTTGGCTAGAACACAATGTAATTCTATTGTAGCCTATGGATATGGCTGATTTATTTGCTAGAACACAATGTAGTTGATTTGTTAGCATGCGACCTCCATGGAAATAGGTATTTCTATTGTAGTATGTCTCATCAATAGAGGTGGGCAAAATCCGGATAAACTATCCATTAATCGGATAATTCTCAATGAAACATTATCCGAATTCAGACTCCTAACTCTCTTTCCTGACCCGTTTGCCGAAGTGGGTGCACCCAATTGTTGAAGTGATACCAATACCCATTTGCCGAAGCAGTTCAAAACATTTTATTTGCCAAAGAGGTGAACTAACATATAATCCGGATTTTGCTAAAGCGGCTCATTGCTCAGCCCTACTCATCAAGTATTTCATATTGATCAGCAAATCAAAGGCATGGACGCCCATAAAAAAAAGATGAATAATCGATGTTATTATATGTTTTTAGTGTCGAAATGGACACAATTTAGAGCCAATGTAAAAATAACTTTTCTGATATGTGGCAATCAATACCCTTGTTTAAGTAACAATTTTACGGCACTTGCAAAACAATCAGATAATAAAGGTGTCGAAGATTAGAGGTGTTGCTAGAGAGCAACACAAAACAGAAGGAGGAGAGATCAGGGCGATGGATGTTTGATAGGAAAGAAAGAGTAAACCACACGACAGCACCCACCAAACACCCACAAAATGAATAGCAAACAATGTAGGGGAGCAAGTGGTGTAGAATTTTTTTATCCTGATCTGACACATATGTGTGGCACGACGCGGTGGAATCAGGCGCTCGTCAATTTTTGGTCATGTGGAGTTATTGGTAGCATCTAAAGGCTAATTTATTTTCTGTACTTTCGATAAAAAAAATACCCATTTAACTAAAATAGAAGTCGAGATATTTGCGATTGAAGGAGATGAAGTCGCCTTGTTTCAGTTTTAGAATTAGCGAGAAAGTTGGTGCCAAATTTCGGTAACTTCAATAGCTTGAGAGTCCTTTAAAACAGAAAAATTACTTATTTTGTGCCCTTAATCAACATTTTTCTGAAAAATTCACTCGAAAATATGTTT